AAAAAAAAAAAAAAAAAAGGAAAGAAGCATAACATTTATTTATGGGCACATGCACCCAAAGGGTATGGTCATATAGGCTAAGAATAAAAAAATGTCCACCTCGTTCTCAGCAGAAAGAAAAGTAAATAAAATATTGTTCAAGTGGTTCATATTAAAAATTTAACTAGTCTCCAGTTGACTAATACATGTTTGATTAAGTAATGCATATAAAATAAAATTAATACAGGCTTGCATAATAGTTTCGTCCTGCCAAATATATAGTCAGTCTTGCTCTCTCATTCATACTGACAATTATAATTTCATTGAAATTATTGATAGAGATATGGCATATGGTGCGGTGAGTTTCCTGCTGGAAAACGTGTCGCGGCTGCTGACGTCGCATGCCGATCTTCTCTCAGGCACCGGAGCAGAAGAGGAGCTCCGTCTGCTGACGAACGATCTCATCTCTTTCAAGACTTTGCTGGAGCCCGAGTCAACAAGGTCGAATAAAGACACACGACTCAGGGAAGTTGAAAGGCAAATCAAGAAAGTTGTGTATGCCATTGAGGACACGATCGACGCTTGTGTGACTCGTCTGGCCGCGGCAGCTGCGGACTGTAAATATATCTCCGGTCGCAGACGAGATCTAGTCGACCTGGCGCCTCCTGACCTGGCACAGCTCGTCAGGTCCCTTAGGAAAGATGAGTTGAAACCTGCCATGGACAGCCTCATTGGGGCTGACATTGCTAAGGCACAAATTGGCCGCGGCGAATCTGATGGGTCGAGACAAGCAAAGCAGGAGCCACGGCTGAAAATGGTACGATTTCTATCACCAGACAATGTTGAAAATACGATATAAAAAATAAATGGTCTACTAAAGGAATAAAACAACTTGAAGATGAGGACAATCAAGGGTAGTAAAATGAAATGAGGAGAATGAAGTGTAGCAAACAGAGCTTGTGTTGTGAACAATTCATTCTTTCATTTTTCCTTTCATGGTCTCCGTAGTATACATATGTTTCTTTCTTTCTTTAATATTTTCATTCATTTCTGAAGAGAGCATACACTGTAACTTGTGTGTGCAGGCACCGTCAATCATGGGAGACGGCATCATAGGTCTGGAAGATGAGGAAAGAGAATTAATCAGAACTCTAACCGTGCAAAAATATTCTCCTGGTGCGATGAGCATCAACACCCTCATCGGCATGCCTGGCCTCGGGAAAACAACTCTAGCTTGGAAGGCTTACAACAACGATGAAATCCAACGGGAGTTTCCCACCCGAATATGGGCCTCTGTCTCCCGAGATTTCAACCTGAGAACCATCTTTCTTGTCATCCTCCACGAATTCACGAGCAAGGACATGTCCAACGAGACGACCTCTGACCTGGCAAAAGCTATTTGTGCGTCTCTGCAAGAGAGGAGGTTCCTTTTGGTCCTCGACGATATATGGACTACCAAGGCATTGTCTATCATCATATCTGCCTTGCCAGGGGACAACGAGAGGGGTCGAGTCCTTGTCACCACCCGTAATCACAATATCTCCTGCCCGGCCAAACATTGGGAGCCACCCCAGAGGCTGGGTTTCTTGACGAATGACCAAGGTTGGCGACTACTTCAGTTCAAAGTATTCGGGAAGGACGGGCAGTGTCCTCCACAGCTGCAAGGGCTGGGGCGTCATATAAGCCAACGATGCCAAGGAATACCGATGCTGTTGTTGATGATAGCAGGGATTCTTATGGACTACGTCTCACAAGCAAAAACAAGCGTTGCCATCGTTAAATCGTGGATAGAGCTATCTCAAAGCCTGGACAAGTACACTCGTGGTGGATCGGATGTTTTCAGCAATGTTTTGGAATTGAGTTATGATAGAATGCGTGACGAGTTGAGGGACTGCTTTCTTTATTTGGGGGTGTTCCCAGAAGATTATGAGATCCCGGCTTGGACATTGACCCGACTGTGGATTTCCGAGGGGTTCGTTCAACCCAGGCAGGGACAGAGCTTGGAGGAGAGAGCACACCAGAATCTAATAGATCTCATCGACCGCAACTTGGTCATCGTTGATAAACTTAAAAGCAACGGTGACGTCAAGATTTGCCGGATTCATGATACAGTGCACGACTTTTGTAAAGCAGAGTCCGAGGGGAAAGAGCATCTCTTCCAAGTATTGACAAAAAATGACGATGGAACTTTCATCAAACCTTCTCAAAACAATCAGCACCGCCGCATTTGCATTCATTCCAATGTCCTGGAATTCTTCTCTCCAGAGCCGTACGCCCCAGCCACTCGTTCTTTCCTTTCTTTCTCCGGAGAAGAAATCGCCTTGCCAACCGAGGCCATACCGAAAATCCCGGGGGTCTTCGAGTTGGTGAGGATTTTACATGTCAAGCCCCTCGTGTTCAGAATATTCCCACTC